AATTATTTATATTTGTGTACAAGCTGTTTACATCATCAAAAAGCCTGTGTTTTTAGGGTTATTAACCAAGTTTGTGTACTCAGACCAGTAATATTTGGGGTCACAAGTTTTTGCCATGGATATTTTGTGGGTCAGAAGATAAAAAGTTTGGGAACCACTGACCTAGAGCATGAACATTGTTAAAATCAGACTCAGCTACTAAATCTGTAATGGTAAATGGACTGAACTTATATAGCACTTTATCAAGTTCCCGGGTGTAAGCGCTTTACACTTATGCTACGTTCACACCGAACACGTTTTGAGCTGTAGGAGCAGCCAGTTTACATGCAAAGTCTATGGTGGACACGCCTCTAGWGGTCTTGCAGCACATCAGGTCCATTTAGCGCGGCGCGCAAGGAACGCGGAAGGTGTGGCAGAGCATTTTCCGTGCACATGGTGTGGCGAAAGCAGCCAACGCTAGAGTTCAAAAATCTGAACTTTCGCCGCTTGATGCGTCTTGACAACCAATCAGAGACTCATTTTTCCACGTGACAGTTTCCTGAATGTTGCCCACTAAACCGAACCAGACGGACAAGAGCTCTTTAGCTGAAATCAATTGTCTGTAGTTGATGTTCTGGCTGGAGATATCAGCACTGATGTGGGTCAGCAGCTCTTTAAACTGACCGCAGTGGGCTTGGGACAAAAATAGTCTGTCAGCTCGCTGCTCCTGGAGTGGCAAAACTAACCGAACAAACCGCCTCTAATCATCTGGTGACTTAATTATCTGGTGTACGCAACATTCACTTGCTCTTTAGTATTTAAATCAAAGCCATTTTCTTTATTTTATCTTTATTTCATCCACTGGAGACAGACCGGAAAAAAATAACCGAGATGCTCCTTCCTCTTCAGATGCACGTCTAGTCTGTGTCCCGGTCTGAACGTAGTGCGTCCAACTTGATGGTATGTTCACACTGAACGCGTTTTGAGCAACAAAAAAGCGTCCAACGCCTCCAGTTGGACGCACTACGTTCAGACCGGGACACAGACCAGCGGGAATCGTCCCAATTCTCCTGATTACCCACTCCACCTTTGCTTACAACCATTCACCCGTTCACACACTGATGATGGTAAGCTACATTGTAGCCACAGCTGCCCTGGGGCACACTGGTAAGAGGTGAGGCTGCCAGGCACCGGCGCCACCGGACCCTCTGACCACCATCAGTAGGCAAGGTGGGTGAAGTGTCTTGCCCAAGGACACAACGACTGAAACGGCTGGATGAGGGATCGAATCGGCGACCTTCTGGTTCCAGGACGACTCCCCTAACCACTCTGCCACAGCTGCAATGGTACCTTTCTAAGGCCACATGAAAACAATTCAAATCTGTGGACATAATGGACAATTTCAGACAAAATGGACAGTTTTTCTCATTAAAGAGTAACTTACCTCAAAATTAACTTTTTTTAGCTGATAAACTGTCTAGAATGTGTCTAAAATGTTATATAGTACTGTTTCTGTGCTAATTTTGATGTTTTTGTGTG